AGATTTTTTTACTTTGTGAGAACTTTTGAGATTGTCTTTAAATGATTCTAAAGACAAGTACGTACGTTTATAGCAGCTGTCAAAATATTGTTCTTAGCCTTAACGTAGTTGATGAGAAATGTCATCAAATATGACCAGTGTCATACACCAAGGCTTACAATTAAAGTAATCTTTTCATCATATATCTATTAATGAAGTAAACTTGTTACCTGTATTACATCCAAATATGGACTGTTCACACTGACGAGGGAGGAAGACAATTCTCAGAATAACTTAGTTAACTAAGTGTTCAGTCCTGAATGCATTATGACAGCAGTGCTATTTGTGGGCAACCACTTGTCCATCTGACAGGAGTGGCTCTATGATCCCTCCAGGGTCTATCCTTTCCCTTCTCCAGGGGAATGCAGACACTGCCTTCATTTAGCCTGTCTCTTACTCTGGCACAACAGTTTTCTTCCTTCATCCTTTGCCGTCTGCTGTGCCCACGTAGCACAACGTGCAGCCCCTGGGAGTGCTACCAATGACCTCAGTGTGGCCAATCCCTCACCAAAAACTCCACACAGCTACAGGACCGTAGCACACAGCAGTTAATGCAGGCTGATAGTGAGTGGCATCCCGAAGGGGGACTTGATGGAATGTTGTTTCCTCTAGTGAATCAGCAGGAGAGGAGGCATAATGGCCTTGCCTTTCAGTTGCTGTACATCAATCTCTGCAGAGCAATGCCTGTCATCACTCAGATGTCAGCTGCTGTTTATAACTTTGCTGGAAACGTAACATGGAACAAAATAGTATCATTAGTTTCTCTTGAGACTGTATATGCGTGTTTTAGGTTAACTGCTTTCACCACTGCACTCAGTTCAAACGTTGTTTTAGCAGTATTAGTGCCTTGGAATGTTGTCTTATCTGTGAATTTGGATGGTTGCTCTCTCAATATGTGAACAAAAGACCATGATGTGCTCAGGTGCAAAGGTTTCCACAGCACTGGTATGATATGTCTCAGAAGTACTCCCTTGTCTTTGCTTGAACCTGCTGGTTTAACGACACCAGTGCTGCAGGACAGAGAGGCATCACATCTATTCAGCATATCCGTGCCAGTTGTGATTTCATGAGTGTTTGTTGCCTTTCCTTGTTTATTTTATTTATTTATATAGACTGAAGACTTCTACTCTTTGCTGTCATTCTTCATATGAAGCAATGCCATAACTTGAATCCTTCTTTCTGCTTTTCCCAGTGCCTTCAGTGCTGCCACATTGTTTGCAGGTGGGAAATGAGTCACAGCCAGTGTTCAAGTCTGAGTGGTGTCAGATGCAGCATGGATTTATACAGTGTCACTTTTTGCTGTCCTTCCTAATAATTCCTAACATTTAAATTGGCCATTACTGAACACTGAAGATGTTTTCCTACATCTGTCAATTGTGTATTCATTGCTCTGACGTGATCCTGATTATCAGGTTGACAACTGTGAAACTAAAAGTGAGAAAATGCTATTTTCTCCTAATAGAAATGTTTTATAAGTAGTTGGGTTTTTTTAAAATTTGAGGGTAGTTTTAGTTTTACTTTTCAGTCTGCATACTTTTAGATTGTGATTTTTTGTTGAAATATGTTGATTGCTGCTCACCATTCACTTTTTTCTCTACAATTAAATTTGCATTTTTTAAATCTTCTTTTTCTATTAATTCAAACTCTCTATAGAACATATTAAGATTGGTGCTAGGACTGCTGCCAAAGAAAACATCTGATGCACTTTTCTGTAGCTTTTAGTATCATAAAATTAGTACCTGTGATATGGATAATTGGGATATCTTTGGAGTTGTTTAGTAATGGATCAGATAACAGCAGTGACAAAATCATTGCGAAGTTGTGACCCACATTGCCTCATTAATATGACTCATGACATGGCTTGGAGAAAAGGGCATTTTAACCATCTTGGTTACTCAGCACTGCTTTTTCTGCCGTGTCTACCAACTGCATCACTGTAGCCTTTTGTCATGTGGATTTTTTATCTCCTATGAAGCTGTCCAAAACTGTCAGGTCATTTCATGCTGGCCACTGTACCAACATTAAATATAGCAAGGGTGACATTTTCCCGGGTGCAGAGGTCAACATAATGCTTATGCATCACTTAAATTTTACTGAGATTCTCATTTAAAGGCCTTCATTCAAATTTTCTAACAATTTTGGGTGACTGACAAACCACTAACATCACTAACTTCAGTAACTGCCACATCAGGGCAAAATATATGCAAAATGCTTCCTTTCTGGTTCGATGCCTTTGTTATCTGAAAAAGAGCTACTTCATTTTGCCTTGTTGATTTTGCCTTTCTGTCATTCTGTGTTTAAATATTGGTTCAAATACATTGATGGGGAATAGGCTGGGTGCTCTTTAACACCAGGCAACAGGGACGTGATCAGAAATACATTTCAAACCCTCTCTGGCTTTAGCCCTGCCTTTAGAGGTCTCATACTGAGACTAAAGGGCAAGCAGGAGCATCCAGAAGGAAGTGAATGACTTCCTTCCACGGTAAGCATTTCCCCCTTCTAGAGATTATTCCTGCCTCTGACATCCTCTTGTGCTGCTGCCTTGGGAATACCGTAGCAGTTGTGCTGCCTGCAGCACTGGAGAGCAGCTGGGACTCCGTCCCACGCCACCCTTCCTGCTGCCACGTGACCTGAATCCGTTTGCTTTAGAATAAATTTTTAATAGATGGACATCTGGTTAGTTTGTTTTTGTGATTTTTTTTTTCTTTTTTTTTTTTTTTTTTTTTTTTTTTTTAATTTCCTATGCATGTAATAAAGGGAAAGAGATTACTCTGGAAAATACTTCAGTTTTCATCTAATAAACCTACACAATAGTTCTTCCAAAAGTTCTTCAGTTATGCAGCTATTATCAATATTCTCTGTGAAATTTTACAAATCCTGCCCTTTTATCACTAAAATCATGGCTCCTAACGTTGCTTGCTGTATAAATACAGCAAAATAGAGAGACTTGGCGTGGTTTAGTGCTCTATCAAAACTAACACGGTTTTGCCAGAATGAGAGGAAATGTCTGTCTATTGTTCTGTGACTGTGGGTGGAGTAAAGGGATCTCTAGGGAGCCCCTTATTGCTGTAGGAAGTTGTTGCAGAATGGCATTGAGCACAGACTGCAGGAATATTTACTGAGGGCTCGGTGAAACTTGAAAGCTCTTCAGCTCACTTAAAATGTTTATATATCCTGTTTCAGCGCCCACCAAACAATGCTGAAGAGAGGAAGTTATTTCAGATCAAATGAACTTTTATTATTAATCAGAAAGCTTAAAATTAATAAGATAGATAATTTAGGTCAGTGTGTTTAGGTGGTTTTTTTGGCTGTGGTTTTTTTTTTTTTAATTTTTATTTCTCAAACACCACCGTAGCCCTTTCCAGGGGAAAAAAAAAAACAAACCAAAAAAAAAACCAAAATTCTCCAGTGGCAGGAGAATTGTGCCTGCAGTAATCAAAAGGTTATATATACTAGTTATATACTAGTTATATATATATGTATATAGTATATATATGTGTATATATATATGTATGTATATATAAAACTAATGTGTCATTAGTTATATATATGTAACTGGTATGTATATATAAAACTAATATATTAATAGTTTTATATATATACTAGTTATACTAGTTATACACTCTATATATGCACTCTATATATGTATATATATAAAACTAGTATAGAACTAGTTATAGAAATATAGAACTAGTATAGAGTTAGTTTTATTTATATATATATACTAGTTATGCCAGTTATATGCTAGTTTGACTTTACTGTGACTTCAGCAGCTGAACACTTGTTTTAAAGAAATAAAACCACACGAGTACAGCATTAAATTGATTCTCTTTTATCTCAATGCTTGCCTCACTCGATCCCACGGGGGAGCTCCCGCGGCACTTTTTAAACTCGCTCTTCAGTTGCAACTACACAAGAACACTTCGCGTCGCCCAGAGCAAGAGCTCCGGCACAAAACAACTTGGGCCGAGCGCTTTTAGCTCCCTCACCCCGGGCGGCAAAAGGGCCCGTCTGGAAATTAATTAATTGAGGAACGCGCCGGCTGCGCATGTGCCGGCCATCGATGGCTCGGCGGCGCGGCTGGCGCTGCCTGCGCGCTCCCGCCCCGCTCCCGCCCCGCTGCGCCGCCGCCGCAGGAGCCGCCGGAGCCGGGACGAGCAGGAGGAGGGGACCATGGTGAGGGGCGGCACGGCGGGAGAGCGGGATACCGGGATACCGGGATAACGGGGTGGGGAGAGGGGGCAGGGAACCCCCCGGCCGGGCTGCGGAGCCGGCGGGAGCGAGGGCGGGCGGGAGGAGCCGTGAGTAAGCAGTTCCCGGGCCACGCGGGGCCGCGGGCGCGGCCGGGCCTGGAAAGGAGGGTGGGAGCGGAGCGGGGCCCGCCGCGCTCCGGGGGCGGACACAGCCAGGGCCTGCTGCGGGGCGTGCGTGCCGATACCTCTGCAGGGGGCTGGAGCTCCTCGCCCAGCGGGAGCTGGGCCTGTTCGGCCTGCAGGAGGCTGGGAGGGGATGTCAGCAACACACACAGCGTCTCAAAGGCCGGTGCCAAGGGCATGGTGCCACACTCTTCAGTGCAGCCCAGAGACAGGACGAGGGGCGCTAACCATAAACTAAAACACAAGAAGCTCCACCTCAACACGAGGAAGAACTTCTCTGCGCTGAGCGTGGCAGAGCACCGGGACAGGCTGCCCAGGGAGGTCATGGAGTCTCCCTCTCTGGAGACGTTCAGAACCCAGTGGGACACATTCCTGTGTCACCTGCTCTAGGTGACCCTGCCTTGGCCCGGGGAGGTTGGGCTGGATGGTCTCCAGAGGTCTCTTCCAACCCTAACAATTTGACAAAAGGAATTGAACAAAAGGAAGAATTTTTTCACGGAAAGGGTGATGAGATGTTGGAAAGGGCTGCCCAGGGAGGTGGTGGAGTCACTGATCCTGGAGTCACTGATCCTGCACTTTGCTGACATGGTGGTGTTTGGTCACAGATTGGAGTCAGTGATCTCAGAGGTCTTATCCAAAGTAATTGATGCTGTGATTCTGTGAGAACAACCAGGACTCCCCTCAGCAACACTCCTCCTGCCCGCCAATTAGTGGCCCTAATGAGTTTTATTTTCTCCATTCCAGTTTCGCAACCAGTACGACAATGATGTCACCGTGTGGAGCCCGCAGGTAAGGCCTTTATGTGCTGTGTCACTGGGATTTTAGCTTGCTCTTTGGGGTTTTCTCCACCTCACAGCAGCAGTATCACGGTTGTCTAGGTTGTTGTCAGGTGCCTGAAGTTCCTGCAGGCTGCTCCCCTCTCCCTTTCCAGGCTGTGGGTGTCTGGAAAACCACTGGCACATCTCAGTACGTAGTGGTGTATGAACCTGAGTGGTGCTGAGGTGGGGTACAAAATAGATGCTGTCACCTTGGGCGTTGGACTAGATGATCCTTAAAAGGTCCCTTCCGACCCAAACCATCCTGTGGTTCTGTGATCCGTTTACAGATTCATTTTAAAGAAGTTGGTAAGTAAAGTAGAAAAAGCACGAAACTGAGCTTAAATCTTCCCAGTGTTAGGCCACTGCTAGTGCCCTTTTGCCCACTAGATAATATTGGAAAGGAACTATTTAGTTCGTAATTTGGAATAATTTTTTTTCCATTAATCACTTTATTCTGATTGTTCAGGGAAAAAATCGAATTATTAAAAGTCAGTATTTTGTGCTTGAGTGAGAATATGGGACTTCTTCAAGTGGGATTTAACAGCACCTGTTTCTCTTTCTGTGCACAATTTTTACTGCCTTGTAAGCCCCCGTTTGAATGCCTGTACCCACAGGGTAGTCTGGAGCATGGAATCTGGGGTACTGATCTTTGTGGTGCAACTCAGCAGATCCTCATTTTCTGTATTGAAGTGGTCACAGACATCCACACTGAATAAATTCCACGTATAAAGCTTATAACCTTGAGAGCTAGAACTTGAAAGTGGTTAAATGCCATGTCACCTTGTGCTGCTGTTTGTGCTTCAGTTCTGAGGTCTGTGCAGATGTGTGTCCCTGGTTTCCCGTGTTGTGGAGCATCAGGGAGGCTTCCTGCTGTCTCTCTGGTTAAGATTATATTGAGCTTTGCACTTGAATTTTAAATTTTCTTACCTCTGAGTCGGTTCCCACTGTGTGTTGTTAACTAAAAACATACCCTGTGTGCTCTGAAACTTACACAGGTTGTGTTGACTTGAAAATAAATGTTCTGGAATTCTAAAGGCAAGTGTCAGCTCAAGTGTTTAGTGTTGCCTCTTCTCTCAGTATGGACAGTTTCAGAAGGGATACTTAGGGAAAATCAGAGCCTTGGAAAATGACTCATTTCCTTATTTAGCAAAACCAGAGGTTTTAAATGCAAATAACGAATTTTGTTCCTATAAAGCTAGTGTGTCATTAGTTTTGGGGTTTGTATTGCTACTGAAAATCTTCATCATGTACTACTGTTGTATGATACTTATTTTCCCTACATTGCAATGGAGAGTATCTCATGTTTTCAATCCTATGTGAAGACAACCTTGAGTATTTGCCTGTTTTTTTAGTCAATACCATGACAGGTGTAGATGCCTTTGAACCGCTTTCATCCTTACCAGTTGTGTTTCTCTGGCAGGTTCTGTATCAGAAACTTCAGTTTTAATTTTTTTCATCTTATCTGTTACTTAAAAAATTACTTTAAAAACTATAACATTCTCTTGAGACTTTTAAAAGATGTGGCAAAATCATCCAGCTGTGGGCTGTGCTTGCAGGGCAGCTCTGCCCTCTCTGATGTGGGCTGGAGGGCAGAAAATGAGACACTTTGCCCTCAGTGGTGCCATTAAGTGGACATTGTCACGTTTTCCTGCAAAGCTCTTGGGCTCCTCTGCAGAACTTGTGGGGGCTTGATTTCCTTTGAGACCTCTACTCCTCTTTCAGACTTCACTGCAATTGGCCAATAACTTGTTCAGAAGTTATTGGGGAATGGATGGTGAGACACAACAATTGTGTAAGACTCTTTTCTTCAGGAAACTCGATTAAAAGTTAAGTGTCCAACTTCAACTGGAAGTTCTGTCTTTGAATCACTTTGGGTCAAATACTGATTCCTCTAAAGACAGTGACAAAAGTCTCATGATTCTTATGTCAAGATTAATGTCAAGATTCTAGTGTCAAGATTACTCACCCTTTCTTTTTAGTTTTCCCATTCCTTTGTGTGCAGTAGTGAGTGACTTAGAGATGGCCTGGTTTTCATGAGTTAGTGGTGAGGCATTGCAGAAGATAATTGTGGAGATCTGTTGGTTGTAGGTTTAAACTTGTGATGCAGATTACCCACCTGTTGGGGTGGGGAACCAAAGGTCTGAAAGTCCAAACCCATTCAAAGCTGATTCAGAGGAATAACTCGAGAATGATCACCTTTGTTTTGTTTTTGTAGGGCCGAATTCACCAAATAGAATATGCCATGGAAGCCGTGAAACAAGGCTCGGCTACGGTGGGGCTGAAGTCCAAGACACACGCTGTTCTGGTTGCTCTCAAGGTAACTTCAAAACTGTGTTCCTGGGACAGTAATGTTCGTAGAAGAGTTTTGGGTTGGCAGATCAGCTTTGTGCAGTCAAAACTTCTATGTGTACTGTAAATACAATCCCAGTTTCCTTTTGCCTGAGTACCAGTATAGAACTGAAATATTTTCAGTACTTATGCAAAGGAGATTGTCACAAATTGGTGAAGGAAGTAAGTGGAAGATTTTTTCCCTTTAAAAGATGGTGTCCTCTTTTCTTTTTCTTTTCACTAGTTATTAAGTAGTAAATCTATTAATTTATTTTCCCAAAGCTTGAGTGAGTGTCTGTTCTTTCTCCCATTCTGACAGGTTCCTACTAAAGTGAAAGGTTTTTCTTATCTTCTCTTGCAAGTTTATAAATGTAATTTTTTTTTTTTATTGTTTCATGATCATATTCAGTTCTTGCTATAAATGTTAGCGGATTTCTCCACAGTGCTTGGCAGACTGTTCAGTTTGCCACATAGCTTTCTCTTTTTATGCACAGAGAGCACAGTCTGAGCTGGCAGCTCATCAGAAAAAAATCCTGTACGTTGACAACCATATTGGTATCTCAATCGCTGGACTTACTGCCGATGCAAGACTCTTGTGGTGAGTATCCTGGTTGTTGACATAATAACACAGTTCTGCAATAGCAAGTGAAAGTTCATTCAGACTATTGCAAATGAGATTTTCTGCTTGGCTAAGGATTAGTCTTGAGCTGCTGCTTTGTGGTACTATGCCAAAGACCTCAGCGTGAAATTCTGGCAGATTTTTAACTGGTTGGCAGAAATCTCATTTGTTTGGCCCGAAATTTTGCTCCTTGGTTTTGTTACTAGTGAGACAGTCCTGTCTGGTTTCCTCAGTGTCGTTGGGGTTTCCAAGCAGTCTGAGAAAGTGCATCACTTCTTTCCCTCTGGCAGCTGCTTCTGTGTACACACACTTTAGAAAGTTACTGAACATACAGAGTGCTGTATGTTTGGGCTTCAGAGGGGCTTGCTTTTGCCTGCTGGCCACATAGTTTGATTAGGTGAGGTAAATGTACACGGAAGGAGGAGTGTTCCTCAGTTTGAAAGGACAAAGAAGGGATAGGAAGAGTTTGTAAAATAAATATTAAGTGCTGTAACGTTACAAAGCAGTGTTACCATTTGACTGTGGCTTTTTTCCAGATAATCCATCTGTTGCCTGCGTGAACTTCTACCTTCTTTGCATTTGTATGGCTGAAATACTTTTATACTCTTTCAAACCTGTGGTCAGCTTTCTAAATAACAATTATAGGTCATGGTGAAATGAAATTATATAAAGCCTTTGACCCTTGTTCTCAACAAGCAGAGCTGAAACAAAAATGTTTACCTTAACAGTCAAGTATTGAGACAAAACTTCATTGTGTCTTTGATCTGTGCATTGGTTTAATTTCTTTGTATTTTTATTTTTTGCTTTCCAGCAATTTCATGCGTCAGGAGTGTTTGGATTCTAGGTTTGTGTTTGATAGACCTCTTCCAGTTTCCCGTCTAGTGTCACTAATTGGAAGCAGTATCCTTTTTTTTTACACTTGTAATACTTTTATAGCTTTTTACTTGTTCATAAAATGATTTTCATATGTCACAGCTTAAAACTCAAGTTGGAAAACTTGACTGGAAAATTTTTCTTCATTCGCATTGCTCATGTATTCATTCAGAGAACACCCCGTAAGGATGCGCTTTGGTGCATCTCTGGTTGGCTTAGGAGGATGTTTTGTGCAATTAACGTGCAAATTTTGAGATTGTTTCCTTAGCTTGCTTCAGAAACCCAGATCCCGACGCAGCGTTATGGCAGGAGGCCGTATGGTGTGGGACTGCTCATCGCAGGCTATGATGTGAGTAAGCTGCCCTGGAACTTTGTACAAGGAGGTGTTAAGAGGGAAAGATGGAAGAGGCTAACTCATCAAAATTCTCTGAATAAGGAGATAATTGTCTGTATCTTAGCCTAAACCATAGCTTTTAGAAGTGTTAATTAATAGCTAATCCTTCCTACACTTATTAGGCATTTTAAGATGCAATATGAGATACTGCAAAAATCAGATTTTTTTTTCCTGTAAATGGTTTGCTATTGGTTTTGGATGTTTACAAACTATTATTCTGAATGCTTTCTATTAAAAAATGGATGTGGAAATTGTCACTGGCCTCTCTCTTACTTGTTTAGCAGCAACAGTCTGTACATGCAGAATCTCTGCCCTCAAGATTCTTGAAGTTTTGAATGGCATGGTTTAGTCTACAGTCTGTTTTTACTTTTGTGCAGATATGTGTGTACAGAAACACATAAACACAGCATAGAAGAGAGAAAGAAATTTTTTGTGCCAGCCATCCTGTCCACATAAAAGCTGCATCTTAATGAACCAAGTGTAGAGAAAGAGTTGGGTTTGGTTTGGTGGTTTTTTTTTTATTTAATTATTGGTGGGGTTTTTTTTAACAGTAGTTTTGAAGGAATTATATAAAAACAGTGATATGATCAGCAATGTAAAGTAAGTTTCTGTGCATACATACAGGCCGTGCGATGTACCATGAAGCAAAACTCTTTCAGAAAATCTCATGTTTAAGCTGCAGACTTGGTATGAATTTATACATTTGTTTTACATTCTGTTGTTTTTTTTCCTCTCTCCTTGTAGGATATGGGCCCCCACATCTTCCAGACTTGTCCCTCTGCAAACTATTTTGACTGCAAAGCAATGTCCATTGGTGCTCGTTCACAGTCGGCGCGGACTTACTTGGAGAGGCACATGACTGAGTTCACTGACTGTGAGTAGTGGAACCCTCTCTAGCTAATGGCCTTCATCAGTTCTGCAGTTTACTTTCTGCTACTGTTCCACTCTTTTGCATTTAGTGAGATGAAGATAAATTTTTGGGGACAAGTCCGGCATAACTGTAAAATCTGCATGAGAATGTTACAGATTTTCATGTCTTAACATGTGGATGCTTTTATTGCATCTAATGAAAAGAGAAGCTGTGCTCAGAAAAGCACGGGGAAAAGTGAAAGGCCTCTGCCCTGTTTAACCCAGGGGAAGTGTAACTCTTTCCACAGCAGTGTATGTCAGTGCAAGTATTCAGGTGGTGCATTTAAAGTGTTGAATTTATTATTTTATGGAATGGTGATGAGGAGCCTATTGAATAGCTGCTTGGGGGCAAAAAAAAATCAAAGCTGGAATATCACTGCAGTGAAGACACTGAAGGCAAGGCAGGTGTCAAAACCTAATGCACCTGACCTCAAATATAGGGGAGGGATGGTTTCTCAAGGTATGCTGTTATAACCAACTCTGTGCTCAGTACCTGAAGGGAGAGGAGCTCTGGAAGACAAGTTAGCCAAGCTGATTTTGTAGTTCTCAACTACCAATAGGAAGAAGGTCAAATGAGTGTCCAGAGATAATACCATATAGTCCATAACTGTCTTTCTGACTCCATTTTAAGGTAATCTAAATGAGTTAGTTAAACATGGACTGCGTGCCCTGAGAGAGACTCTTCCTGCTGAACAGGATCTGACCACCAAGGTAAGTACTAGCTTTTCTTTAGGAATTTTACTGACATTGTTACTAGAAATTACTGTGACAAAATTCTTGTGAAGTTTGTCTGACAAAGCACTGAAACTTGGAAGCTGAACACTGGTAGATAATATCATCTCCATTTAATGTCACCAGTTTATCTACCATTTCCTAATTATCTGAGATTTAAGTTTCTGAACAAAAATGATGCTTTCGCTAAATAAGACATTGTTTCTGTGGTTGCTTCATTCTATTTTAAGCTTTGATCAGTGTTAAGAAACATTACATGCAACTGGAATCCCAGCTTTGCTTTGTGGACACAGTCGGTCATTCACTGGGAGGTGAGGGAAGGTAGGGCACCAACAGTTGATTGAGTATCCAGCATCAGAAAGGTGTACAAACTTCTGACAGTGAATTGAGGAACTGTTGAACGAGAAAATTCTAAGGATATCCATTGGCTGGTGTTCTGCTTGTGGCCCTTTTCCATCACCTTGTTTTTTAGAACTCTTAAAATATTGAAAATGCAAAATGAGATTAAAATAAGGGATTTTGAGAAATTGTGTGTATTCAAAGGAAAACAAAATGAAACCAGTTGAAACCCTTGAATGAAACATGATAGCTTTTGTAAGTGAAAACTTACAGAAAGGATTAATTGCAGAAAAATGCTTCTCCCTGCTTTCAAAACTTTGCTTGACAGAATGTTTCCATTGGAATTGTGGGCAAAGACATGGAGTTTACCATCTACGACGATGACGACGTAGCACCATTCCTAGAAGGTCTTGAGGAGAGACCACAGCGAAAGGTGTGTGGCTTAGACACAAATAAACAGACTTTGTTGAAAGATGACATTTAGATATGGTCTATTATGTTTAAAATAAATTTAACTCTCTACTACTGTATTGGAGTTTTAGAAATGCAGTTTTGAAAATTACCATATGAACACTGCATTTATGCCAGCCTGTTCCAATGTCATCTTCTTTCCTCAACTTTGATCAAGTACAAGTTTTCCCTGTTTTGCAACAGAAGTGGCTGCTTATGTTTCTCATGCCCTTCACAGGATGCTTCCATAGTCTCCTAATTACCAACTCTGTCCTGCTCATGCTTAATTTGGATAACACTACTTTGTAAACTGTTTGCTGACATGAGCAGCATTTGCCACTTGTGATGCTCAAATCAGGATAAAGCTGATTTGTCAAGTGTTGTCTTTTGCCCTCCTAAAATATTTGTTTTTCCTCTCTTTAAGCCGGTTCCGCCTGTAGAAGAAACTGTGGAAAAGGCTGAGGAGCCAATGGAGCACTAGTTGGTGGATGAGTTCCTCTGTGTTTATGTATAATAATACAGGAACATTTATCCATTTGCTGGTAACTTTATCCTCACCTATATTCATTTTCTGACGCTACATTCTGAGGATTGATCTTAAAGACACCAACCCACCTATCCTTAAAAGGTAGACAGGAGGTCATACTTGGGGGTTAACTGCTTGGACAAGAAAGGTGTAATCATTTTCTAAATAGGACATGATACTGTTTTTTAAAGAAAAGATACTGTCTTTAACTCATAAGGACAAGTGGAAATAAATCACTTTCTTGGACTCTGCTGTTGGTTTGTTTTTATTTTAATCTGAACAAACAGCAATTCAAATACTTGTGTCGTATCGAGGTGCCATCATGTGTCTGACCATTTGTCAGAGTGAGTGTTTACTTACTGTACTGAGATGTGTTGCTCTTGGAAAGTGCTGAACTGAGAAGACCTTAAAATGCCTACAAAACTGTGAAATAGTTGTGGAACAAACAGGAGACGGCACGTTTCCCTGTGTCGACTTGTCTCAAACTGAACATGAAAAGACATTTGTGATTGTGAGTGTTAACCAGGAGCGTTGCAGGCTGAGAAGTGTGAAGTTGCCAACACGCTTTTGTTTGGGGTTTTTTGGGGGATGGCTGACTTAGTCAACCCCAGCTCATTTGGAACTGTTTCTTTAGATCCATCAGCCAGCCAAGGGCAGCAAAGGGCTTTTAGCTCACTCAGGGCTGAAATTGAAGTAAAAAAGAAGCACAAGAAACTCCCGTTTCAGGTCCCCTGGGCTGTGGAGTCTCTGCATTGCTGCTGAATGAAGAAGTTCTCTGGAGTTTTGTCCCTTCACCTTGTTCTGCACCTGGTGCTCTTTGGATTTAAGATGAGTGCCACAAAATTTGGGACTAACAGTGTCTTCCTCAGGGAATCCCAGAGAGTTGGTGCTTCCTAGCTAAAAATAGGTGCAACGCCACATTTGAAGCAAAATAAGCTCAGTGTTATTTTTTTCATTTTCCATGTCAGAAATATAATTATTCTTGCTAATGATTGCACTGAAAATTACAAGAAACAACTTTTTGGGGTGGACCCACACAGGGACCTGATACCCTGCTCACTGTACTTAAAAAAACCAAAACATCTTGTTTAATTAATAAATAAAAACTAATAAAAATTAATAAAGCATGGTGCTGTTTTGAACAGGCTTTAAATACTGTCTAGAATCCCTGTAAATAGTTCAGTCACGAAAACAGCAAAATAATAATGTCAGCGCTGTGTGTTTGGTTTTTAAGCAGTGGACAAAGCTGCTTTTAATTTTTCTAAATTTATTTTTTTCTAGTTTTCCCCTATTATTCTTCCATTTCTCCCTGTTATTTTTCTATTTATTTCCCCTCTCTCATTAATTTCTCTCCCCTTTACTCACTTTTTCCCCCCCTTGTTCATTTTCTCCTTCCTTTACTCATTTTTCCCTCCTTATTCATTTCCCCCCCTTAATTACTTTTTCACTACTAATTTTATCCCCTTAATATTTACTTCCCCTCCCCGTTTTTGTGGGTTTTTTAAAATTTATTTATTTCCCCTCTTACTTATTTCCCCTATCTGTTTTTCCAATTGCTTATTAACTTTCACTAATTTACTTTCCTTAATTACTTGTTTTCCCAATTTATTTATTCTCCCTATACACTCCCCCAGTTATTTATTTTTCTCAATTATTTGTTTTCCCAATAATTTATTTCCCCTATATATTTCCCCAATTCTTAATTTTCCCCAGTTATTTATTTTCCCTGATTCTTTATTTTCCCCAATTATTTATTTCCCCATGCACTTCCCCAATTATTTATTTTCCCCAGTTATCTATTTTCCCCATTTATTTGGTTTCCCAATTATTTTCCCTATATCCCCAATTATTTATTTTCCCCAATTAACTTCCCACCATATATTTTGCCCGGTTATTTATTTGGCCCAATTATTTCTTTATCTCCCCTATTATTTTTCCCCCCAATTCTTCATTTCCCCCGATTGTTTCCCGCAATTATTTATTGTCCCAATTATTTACTTATTTTCCACCTTATTTACTTTTTTCCCCTTACCATTTCCCACCCTCCCTTTATTTCCCGCCTTATTATTTAATCGCTTTCCCCTTATTTGTTTATCCGCGCGGGGTTTTTAACCTTAATTTCGGGCGTCCCGGGGGACCCTCGCGCCGCGCGGAGGGGGAAATCCCGCCGCCGTGACGTCACGGGGAAGCCCCTCCTCGCGCGGGCGGGGCGGCCCCGCCCCTTTCGCGCGTGTGCGCGGGGCGTGTCCCTGCGCGGCCGCCGTAGGCTCGATGTGGCGGGGCGGGCGCGGCTCCACGTCACCATCGGCGGAGCGGCCGCGCCGCGCTCGGCTCCGCTCCGGGCTGCGCTCCGCGCTCAGCCCCGCTCGGCACCGCGCTCGGTACGGGCCGCGGCACCCGCGCCAAGGCCGCACGGGCACCGGGGCAGCGCCGGCCCCGCGGCTGCGGTGCGGGCCCCGAGGCCTGAGGACGCCGCCGGCAGGGCCGCGGGGCGGGCGCGGTGTGGGCTCTGTGGCGCGGCGGGCTCGGGGTCTGTCGGGGAAGGGCGGGCGGGGGCGTGCAAGGGAGTTCTGCCTCGTAGGTAAAAACGCCCGGGTTTGAGCCGGGAGTGGGCGCCTGGGACGTGAAGGGAGAAATATCCCCAGGGCGGCTCTACCGGGATTTTTTGTAAACGTGGGGTTTTTGCGCTGTATATCACGGATGTGCATCAGTAAAGCGGTGCCTCCGCAGGGTTTGGGTTCGCGAGGTGCCCCCGTTCCTGAGGCTCCCCAGGGATGTGGGTGGCGAGCAGGCGTGGCTGTTTCCCTGCGCTCGATAAATGTAACTTTCGATTTCCTCTGTAAATTTCGATTTCCTCTCCTTGCCCAGAGAAGCTGTGGATGCCCCATCCCTGGAAGTGTTCACGGCCCGGCTGGATGGGGCTCTGAGCAACCTGGGATAGTGGGAGGTGTCCCTGCTCGAGTCAGGGGTATTGGAACGAGTTGATCTTTAAGGTCCCCCCCAATCCAACCCGTTCTGTGATTCAGTACAGGTGGTCAGAAATTTTGTTGCTGGAGAAGTAGAGCAGCACTTAGGTCTGTGTCTGTGGGGCCTCTCTCTAAGATCAGGCTCATTTCAGGTCTTGGTGCCTTGCGAGGAGGAAAACTCGGTGCTGGTTCTCCCTGCCACGTCTCCCAGCTCTGCGTTTTAGGAGAGTTGTTTTCACTGCTGCTTCTCAGAGCCTAAAGTACGTCACTTACCACACTTCAGAGAGATGTTTGACTGTGATTTTTGAAATTTCTGCAGTTGAGGTCTTCGTATGAGGAAAGATACCTGATCTGCTTTTACAAGGATGTACTTTGTGGTCTGTATGAGTCATTCTTGTAGGTGAAGGTGCTGCAGGGCTTTGAGGCAGGAGTTCTAGGTTAGAGCATGGAAAAGTAAGCAAAAAAGCTCTTGCAGAGGCAAGAAAACAGCTGTATTTCTACAAATGAGCATTAGTCACAGAATCAGTAAGGCTGGAAAAGACCTTCAAGATCAACCTTTGGCTGATCACCACCTTGCCAACTAGACCATGGCACTAAGTGCCACATCCAGTTGTTTCTCGAATGAGTTGTTTATGTAGATACTTTTAAACAACATTCTTGAAGGATCTAATCCTTAAAATAAAGAATTAATAACAGAAAGAGGCAGGTTTCTTTTAAAAATTTGTGTTGCAGTTGTTTTCTGGGGTAGTTGTTGTGGTACTTTTTTAGTTTGTTGTTCTGTTGTGTAGAAAGAAGCAGCAGCCCAAGTTAGCACAGTTTCCTGCTTGCTGTTCAGTTTGAGGTTCCCTAAGTGCCCATTTGATGAGAAAAGGGATTTTGGACCTGGCACCAGCTTGTGTAGGGACTCAGGTGCTCATTCAAACGCTGCAGCTCCATGTCCCAACTTCCCTTTCCTCAAAGCTCTTTGTGGGGAGGTGCTTTTAGCCAGACTGGGGATATTGGTCTGCTGGATTTTGTTTGTTCCTGCTTCAGTCATAAGGTAGGAGTGGAGAATTTACAGGGTTTGCACCTCAGAAGTTGCTGGTGTCCCCAGACAACAGCTTCTTAAACTGGCCTGTTATTGAAAGCTTTGTGGCCTGGAGGTTTGGCCCTGCTGTCGTGGAACCTCGAGGAAGAGCAGTCTGCAGGGAAAGCACAGCCTTGAGTTGGAGGGTTGGGTGTTTCCATCTTTATGTAAATCACAGCCTTTGGTGGGGATCATTCTGTTTGCTTCTGTTGGCCCTACTGTTAGTAATAAAAATTGTGTAAAACAAATTTGCCTTTACACATTATTTGAGTAATGTTTGGTATCATCAGTTAGAGTAAAAAGGCATCTTCCTTGTTTTAACCATTTGTTTAACTCGGTCAGAGACTTCCAGAAAATTAATAAAATCTGATTTATTTGAACACAATTTCTGTACAAAATTGCTTATGTAATAAAAAGTAACAGTTTTCTATGCTGTGCCTGTCAGTGTGGTATCATAGCATTAAACAAGCAAGCTCAAACTTAAGCATTTTTTAGGTTGATTTGATCCTAGATGTCTATTATATAAGGAATAAACAAACATGAGAATAAGGATTGATAGAAGAAAAAGGTTGATTTGATCCTAGGGATCTAATATATGTGGAAGAAACAGATATGAGGCTGAGGGTTGAGCTTAATTGGTGATTTTATTACCTGAACTGTCAGCCACACATCAGCTTCTTCACCCTAAAAATACTGTCCTCAATAATGTCTAGCAGAGACAGTAGAGCTGAGATGCTCTGATGATCCTTGGCAGGAAAAATGCAATCCTGCTTCCCTCTCCACCATGCTTTCTTTTCACTCATCCTTGGCTTCTGCTCTGTTGGATCTTGTGCTCATCTTCAGAGCTTCCTCCATAGGCTGATTCAACTTGTTAATCAAGTCAAGAGAACTGTATGACTGTATCTTTTTTTTTTTTTTTTTATGTTTTAAAGTCTTTTAGCTCATGTCAGTTCACCTAGAGGGGCACAGGACTGCAGTGAAGGTAGTGGGGATGTATAGCCAGGATCAGGGAATGAGTATTTGAGGGAGAAGCTGCTGTGTCCATTCAGCTGCCGTCAGGTGCCCATACATTTCTGTTATCTCTGACTGTGTCTGAAGCATTGGGAAGATTTCTTTCTTTTTTATTGTCTTTGGAAAATTTTGTGCTCTTTATCTTTGTGGTGCTAACAGGAATATTTTAGTGTAACAGAAAAGTGAGAGGGCTTTTGAATGTG